TCTTGTATAGGGAACACAGATGCTCTCACATTCTGTCCCTCATCTCTTACATTTGATGTCTACCACAGGAAGGAGCAGTACTTTCACCATCAATTGCTCAGGGTTTGGCCAGCATGGGGTGGATCCCACTGTCCTGGGTTCAGTGTTTGACAGAAAGGCCTTCCGTCCAGCCACCAACCCCAGGGTCCCCACCCAAGTCAACATCTCCTTTACGATGTCGGCCATCCTAGATGTGGTAAGTACTGGCCTCTCTAGCCATTCTTGGTGTCCTTAACTTTTTCCTAGCACCTGGCAAGGTGACCCCCAAAACCCTTAACCTACAGCTTCCTCCACCATGACTACAGAGTATCGGGAGGATGCATGGGGCTCTCTAAGAAGCTCTGTTCAGTTCAGCAGGGTGAGATATAATAGCACATGGGAGAGAATCTTCTTCTCACCCTGGCTGCGTAGCACTGTCCAGGTTCCACCAGCAGAGGTTCTGATGGGATGAAACTCGGACATGCATATTCAGGAGCTCCTGGGGCTATTCTAAGATACAGCCAGGTTGAGAAGCATTGCTCTACTCCAGCCCCGCTGTGAACCCTCCTGCCCATGGCCTGACACATCTGTTGTGATCAAGCTTTTGTCCTTGACTTGTAATGTTGAACTTCATCCCAGCATCCCCTTTATATCTCTTGGGGTTTGGTAAACAAAAATGAGAAAGGGGATGAAGAGACTTCTTACTGGCAACATGCTGGAAACAGGAAATTCTTTTGGCAGGATGAACAGCTACAGCTCTTGTCATCATTCCTGTGGCTGGACATGGTATGGCCCACACTTTATTCTCTCTTCAATTAGAGTCAGAAAAGATTTTAAGCAAAGATATAAAAATAATTAGGAATTTTTATGTACCTAACATCACTTTGGAACACATGAAGGAGAAACTGAAAAATCCATCATAATGGTAGAGATGTCAGTCTACTGCTTTCAAAAGTTAAGTAAAGGCCAGGCACGGTGGCTCATACCTGTTATCTCAGCATTCTGGGAGGCCGAGGCAGGTG